CTCAGCTAGTCCTGCTGGTCAAACATTGTCAAGAGGAGCACCACTCAGCATCAATAACCAGGCCTCACTGTAGGGTGAGCTAGAGGTGCTCCATCGTCTCATAGGTCCCTCTATATCAGGGTTAACTTTGGCACCCACAGCTGCTAAGAGTGAGATCTCCCCTCCAGCTGTCAGGGTGCCCAACACAGCTACAAATCAGGGGGTGTCTGAACATACCTAGAGAACTTCTTCCAGGACCACTCTTCCATCCACCTCCACGCTGGCCAGGGCTCAAAGTCAGGCTTTTCACCCTCCTGGATAGCCACAGTTGCTGTCCAGAGTCATGAGCAATGATATCAACTCAAAGGTCTGAATACCGCTCCTGTTGAGTCAGGGGGACATCTGACATCCCAGAAGCCTGTCCACAAAGCATTGTCCCCAGGTGACACAAAGTCATTGATGAAGACCCTAGGGTCTAAAAGTCACTAAAAACTTGCTTCTCTGAGTGCCTTCCTGTAGATGTGGACATGGAAAGGCCTTCCTTGCTAGTGGACATCTAATGGGCTTCTGGCCTTCCATGACTTCCTGTGGTCTCTCCTCGCTCTGCAGCCCTGTGAGCTCTCATGCTCTTTACTCTGACTGCTCTTGGTCCTCCTTATAGTGGAATGCTCCCCATTCCCCAGCAAAAGTCTCGCACTGTGTTCCTTTTGTCCGGACTCTTTCCTAGATACCTTCTACTCTTCCTCCAGCCCTAGTTCAATTGAATTCCTATGGGAAAGCTTCCCTGCATGCTTTGACTTTGCCAAATTCCTCTCTCCTATACTCACAGTATCTCCCATCTTCTACTTTTGTAGCAGGTAGTTTCTTTTTATTGGAATGCTTCTTTGATGGATGTCTATTCTCCCTGCTGTTCTGCAACTTCCCCAGGGCCAAGAACATGTTCATCTTGCTCACAATGGCATTTGAGAGTGTGATACAAAATAGAAGCTCTTCAATTGCTTGTTGAGTAAAAGATGAAGTGCTCTTTCCCCTTCCTGTGTATCCCTGTGGAGGAAGAACTAGGACACCTGCTCAATCTGGGGGCAGAGGAAGAATATGGCAGACACAATCACAAAATTGGCATCCATATCAATTGGCATCACAACAAGCAGGAAAATGACTGCAGGCCTGTGATAGCCCTTAAATGTTGGTTAATAATAATGATAGAAATAGTTTGATTCCTGTTATGGCTTGTGTCTGGAATGTCATCCCCACAAAAGCTCATGTGTTGAAGGCATGGTCCCCAATGCAGCAAAGTTCAGAGGTGGGACTTTTAGGTAATGATTGGATCAGGAGGACTCTGACCTCATCAGTGGTCATTAACTCATTTGAATGGATCACTAGGTAGTGGGACCTAGTTAGAGGAAGTAGGTCACTGAGGGTGTACCCCGGAAGGGTTTAGCCCCCTACTCTCTGCTTCTCAGTTGCCATAAGCATAGCAGCTTTCCTCCACCATTCCCTTGTGCACCATGATGTTTCTGCCTTAGACCTGGTTGACCATAGAGTGAATCTCTGAAATCATGAGCCAAAATAAACCTTTCCTCCTCTACATTGTTTCTGTCAGGTGACACAAAGCTGCCTAAGCATACTTTCCTCTCTCTACACATTCTCTACCTGCATGTCCCCAAATAATAAAATGCAAAATACACAAAGTTCAACCAATAGCCTGCCAGCAATGCCCTTTCTTTTCTTCCCATCTCTAAGCTTAGTTGTCAAAAGATTGCACCTAATATTAATAATAACTGCAGCTAGCACTTATTGGCCACTACTGTGTGCCAGACTCATTTAAGTGCCTCAGGTATATAAACTTAAATCTTCACAATAATCTCATGAAGTAATTATGATCATTATCTCCATTTTACAGATGAGCAAACTGATGTCACATGGCTAATAATCGGCATTCCTGAAATTCTAATCATGGACACCTAGTTCCAGAGTCTGTGCTCATTATGATAGTCTGCAGTTAAAGCAAAAACAAACAAAAATGTTTTCACAGAATGTGACCAACATCATGTCCCCATCAATAAATAGCCACACAGAGAGCATCTCTGCATAAACTTCTTCTGGAACTGTTGTTCACTGTGCAGTATCAATCATGGGACAACCCCTGGGGCGAATTCCTCAGAAGCTCAGAGCTAAGAGAAAGGTGGCTTAGTTTTCTCTTTCCTTCCTCCTTCCTCCTTCCCTCCATCCCTCTCTCCCTCCCTCCCTTCCTTCCTTCTTTCCTTTGGCTGGGAGGTACTGGGGATTGAATTCAGGGGCACTCGACCTCTGAGCTACTTCCCCAGCTCTATTTTGTATTTTTATTTAAAGACAGGGTCTCACTGAGTTGCTTAGCACCTCATTTTTTGCGGAGGCTGACTTTGAACTCACAATCCTCCTGCCTCAGTATCCTGAGCCGCTGGGATTATAGGCCTATACCACTGTGCTCGGCTTCAGGTCCTTTTCCTTTTATTAGATAATAATAGTTTAGTAACTTGTAAAGTTTCTCTACTTTGGATACTAGGAAAGTCAGAGGTCAGTTTTATAGCTTAAAACAGTATCTTCTGCTAATTTCAGTTTTCCCCACTTTGCTGAATTTGTTCTCCTTCCACCAGTCTTTTATTACTTAGACATGTGTCTTTCACTCTTTTTTTCTTCCTGGTTGTCAGGTTCATTTGGACTTGTGCTTATGATAAGATATTCCAAAGCTTTTCTCAAAAAATATAGGATTCAAATATTTAGAAAGCAGATTCTCATCTTGTCCAAGAACAAATGTGTAGTTAGCTCAGCCTCCACCCACTAGTGGCTGCCTTCTTCCCCTCTCTGGCCATACTTGCCAAGTTACTATCTCCCCCAAAATGATTAGAACCTCACTTTAGCAGATTCCAGGATTTGTGCCCTGGGATCACAGCCATGGTGTTTGTGGAGGGCCTCAGTCACATGATACCCAGGTCCATTTCAGCCAAGAATAAAATAAAATAAAAAATCCATCACTCTTTCTCACCTTTTAAAAAATATGTTCCCTCAAATTCTGTCTCAAGCACATCTCAACCAGTCAAAAAGACTATGTTGAATTTAGTTTCTGTAGGCTTATTTCCAAAATAACATATATTTTGAATACACTAATATGCCTTCTTGATCCATAGTCTTCCTCCTATTTCAAATTCAAATACTTTCTCCGCCCCCATGCTATGATTCTGTATCATGTGATATTTTTAATGCCCAGTATCAATTTTCCTTTCTTCTGGTAGTACATCCTACTTTTCCTTTAGGGAATGACTTGGTGCCATCTGAAAAGGACTGTCAGTAAAAATCCCTGCCTCTCTTAGCCACAGGATGAGCACACCAGCCACCAGCTGGTCAGACACTCTCTCCTGGAAGGTGACTGTTGAGCACAGCTTCCCAGGAACTAAGCAAGTTCCTCAAGACAGTGGTGCTCTGGAGATGCTTCTCTCTGGCTCCTTCTACCCAAGATCCTGATTCTTTGTCCTTTTTTTAGCACAGCTGTTTAGCTTCTAGTTTAGTTCTCTGAGCCAAATAGGACTTCAGTCAACTTCCTTTTTGTTTCACATAATCAAGTTGAATTCTGTTGCCTACAGCCAAAGAACCCTAATAGATAAAAACTCTCCCAACTAAGAATAACTGACCAAGATTACATTTGAAGTCTCTTTTTATCTCTAATAATCTGTGATTCCAGTAACCTCACACAACATAAATCATAGGGATTCTGAGTCAGGATTTAGGAAAAGAAAAAGGAAAACCCAAAAGTTGTAGAAAGAAGAGATTTGTAATTTCGTGGTAGTTTCAATTATTTTCTAACAGATTTTCTAACCCCTTCCCCCTTCAACCTCAATGGGAGAAAGCTTTCTCCAGCTCATGTGTGATGAATTTGACCATGTGGTTTGCCTTGACCAGGGGACTGTGCTAGGAGAATGCTTCAATTCTGAGCCTCGTCCTGTGTTTCTGATCACCTCTCTAAGGGGTCTCAGCCTTCCTCTCTCTCTGCTTCCTGGCTGCAATGAGGTAAGGCACTTCCTGAACCATGTGCTCCTGCCAAGATGTGCTCCCTCACCACAGGCCTAAAAGCAATGGGGCCAACCAACCATGGACTGAAAGCACCAAAACTTAGCAATAGCTAAGCTATGGAACCAACAGATGAATGGATAAAGAAAATGTGGCATATATACACAATAGAATATTACTTGGCCACAAAGAAGAATGAAATTGTGGCATTTGCTGGTAACTAGATGGAACTGGTGACTATTGTACTTAGTGTAATAAGCTAATCCTGAAAAACCAAAGGCTGAATGTTCTCTCTGATATGTGTATGCTAACACAAAATAAGGGTGGAGGAGAGAAGAAGAATTTCACTGGATTAAACAAAGGGGAATGAAGGAAAGGAAGAGGATGGGAATACGAAAGACAGTAGAATGAATTGGACATAACTTTCCTACATTTATATATGAATACTCGACCAGTGTAACTCTGCATCATGTACAACCACAAGAATGGGATCCTAATTAGAATAAGTTATATTCCATGTATGTATAATATGTCAAAATATACTCTACTGCCGTGTATGTCTACAAAGAAAAAATAATTAAAAAAAAAACTATGAGCCATATAGAATTACCCTGTTTATAAGTTGGTTTATTTCAGGTATTTTTTTTCTTTTTCTTTTGTGGTGCTAGGGATTGAACTCAGTCAGGGCTTTGTGCATGTAAGGAAGCACTCTACCAATTGAGCTATATCCTCAGTCCATATTTCAGGTTTTTTATGGTAACAGAAAGCTGACTAACATACCTGGACTACCTACAGATGCATGAATAAGAAATAAATGCTTATAATGAGATTCTAAGATTTTGTTGTTGTTGTTGTTGTTGTTGTTGTGAAGCATTATTATGGTTATAACTGACCAATACAGATTTGTTGTGATATCTATTGACTTTAAGCCTGACAATGTTCAGGCTTAAGCCTAGGAAGGGTACATGAAAGCCTACCTGCCACTTTGACCTGGTTGGCGGTACAGGTTTTGCAGGGAAGCACCTGGAACTCTTCTGCCTGGTACATGGAGTAATCAGTACTGGCAACAACCAGGGTGTCTCCAGGTTTCCATGACCGCACATCGTCCTCCAAGTTCAGGATGGTGCTGTTCACATTGGTGTCGATGGTGACTGTGAGTTTGGGCCTCACTGTAACCCAAAACAGGAAAGATGAGCTACAACCCTTTGCTCTCAGCAAACTTTTGGCTGTCCATCTGTTCCCTTTCTCTCCCTATATAAGTAAATGCCAGGTTTGCCTATCCAAAACCCAAATCACCAGGCTGACTCCATCCCAGTTTTGGTACAGGTTTTTGAAGTCAATAAAACCTCGACCAGAAAAGAACCATTCATTAGCTCTGGGCAGGGGAATTTTCCACTAACTTCTTAGCTAGAGTTAAATGTGGCCACCTCACCACACCCACTTTGCTCAAGATGTAAAACAAATATAGCTCCTCTCAACTATTGTTTACAGTAGCTGTCTCTCCCCTACAGAAGTCATATCCTTAATGACTACCTTCTGCAGAAGACCAAGCACCTCCCAGGACAAACTGGCCATTGCCAATCACTTCTAACAAGCACCTTGGGAACTGGGCTTAAAATAATGGCACCCAAATAGGCAACAATCTACACATCTCTTCAGGGGAGGGCTGCAGGGAATTTGCTTTGTCCATTTGCACCCTGTATGTTTGTGGACCAGGCCCATGCAGAAAGGGTTATGGGTAGGGTGAGGCTCTGCTGTCTGCTGCCAACTCTGAGGACCCTCTCATTTCTCCTGGGTCATAAAAGCACTCTGCATCAGGTGTATAACAAGAGCACTGTGTCACTGTGATACCCAGAGGCAGCTGATCTAGGCATCTAAATTCACCATGCAGAACTGCTGGCTCAAGGAACAAGGCTGGGTTGCATTTCTGTCCCCAAAAAAGGAAATAGGGAGCTACTTACCAGGCTTCCCACAGAGGAACCGCACACGGTAGCTCTGGCAGGCTCGGCCCTGATCATAGCAAGCAAACCTATAATCCTGGCCTTTTTTGTAGACAACCTCAATGCTGAGGTTAACTCCATCCATTGTAGTGGCCTGGGAATGGCAGGGAAATTACAGAGCAAAATCATTTTTTTTTTTTTTTGTAAAGAAGGGTGATGATTAATGTTCTCAGCATATACTTGCAAGTCTAAAATTGTCCCTGCTGCAAAACAATTTATAGTGGCCTGAGATTATTATCCTGACAATTATCCACATGAGTTTTAAGACACCATGATGTCTCTGAATGGATAAATGCCTAGGGTCCTACAGTACTAGAAACCCAAAGTAGTGACTTAGTTAATTGCTCTTTATTGGTGAACATTTTATAGAGCATCTACAATAAGCAGGCTCTCAGAACCTGGGTCAGCTTCTTCTTACAACACGTACAATCAGCAGCAGCACCATGCAAGGCGTGGATTTTTATTTCCTGAGTACTCACTAGGTTCAATCCACTGGTGCCCACACGGTATGCCCTATCACATGGAGAATTGAACCCAGGGGGATTATACCACTGAGTTACATCCCCAGTCCTTTTTATTTTTTATTTTGCAACAGGGTTTTTTTAAGTTGTCCAGGTTGGCCTCAAACTTGTGATACTCCAGCCTTAGCCTCCCGAATCACTGGGATTAAAGGTGTACGCCACTGTACCCGGCATATGGGAGTGGGAAGTCTTAAAAATCCTTACATGCAGGCTCTATCCTCAATGCAGCAGACACAATCATCAGGCATATGGGCTTTTAAAAGCTTCCCAGATCAATAGGCAATGAAGTTTGAGAACCACTGTAGCAGATAAGGAGCTAAGTATTCACGTATACCTCATTTTACCTCACAGCAAAACCATGAGGTTGTTGTTCATTTTGCAGATAAGGAAAATGACATGCAGAGAGACTGAGTAACCTGTCCAGGATTACAAAGCCAGCAAGTGACAGAGCCAAACAAATGGGGCTTCTAAGCTCCTCCTACTCCTGCCCTCACATGCATACCTCTTCCTCCCACTGCCTCAGGGTCTGGGAAGCAAGGAGCTGATTTTTGCCCATCTTCCTGCCCCCAGCATCCAGCCCAGGGCCCAGCAAGAGTGGAGTTGCAGTGGGCGAGACTGACACACCAGAAGCTACAGGCCTGGTGGAGAATTTAAAGAGTGGGTTCAGAGTAGGGCACAATCCCTGTCAGCTGGGGCTCATCCCAAAGCTAGGGTGTGTCTGCATTAAGACTGTGACTGTCATTCAGAGACATGCAATTTAAGGCAAGGGCTGCAGCTGTCAGAGTCTCTGGCCCAGAAACCAAAAGGACCAGGGATGGAGAAATAGGGAGCGAAAATAAAGTCAACCTCAAAAACTAAAAAACTTTTTAGGAAACGTTTTGAACCTAAGAGATCTGTTGTCCTTGGCTTGGAATGTAGAGTTACATAGATGTGCACAATTAAAATTCACAGCTAAAATTCAGCCCTTGCCTATAAGTCACACTCTCATTGTAATCATCCCCAACATCCCCATCATCTGGGTGGTCTCTGTGGCAGCCAGAGAGACAGGGGTATAAACTGGTTCTTCTAGAGGAAATGGCTAAACTCAGCAAATTCAGAGCTCAAGGTCATCTGTCAAGCCCAACTCCTCTGACCTGATCAGTTTTCTGAGCCTCCTTCAGATGACCCCATAATATTAAGGACTGGGCTTGAGAACATCATGCAACACAGCTGGTCATTTTTTTTCAAGGCACAAAGTCCAACAATAATTTCAAGAGAACATTTACTCAATTCTGCTAGGGTTTTGTTTTTGTTGTTCCTTTTTTTAACCTAAGAAATGACCTTAGTATCAGATAAGAATAAGAAGGAATCTATCACCATTCAGTGAAAAGAATCTTTGCTCTGGATAAATTTGTTTTGGGGGTGGGGCTACTGGCAATTGAACCCAGGGGTGCTCAACCGCTGAATTGTATCCCCATTTCCTTTTACTTTTTATTTTGAGACAGGGTCTTGCAAAATTGCCCAACTTTCAAAGGGCCTTGAACTTGTGATTCTCCTGCCTTAGCCTCCTGAGTCAATGGGATTATAAGTTTGTGCCACCATGGCTGGGTTTAGTAGATATAATTTAATTGTTATTTATGCTCTTAAGTAATAATTATTATAATTAACAATTAAAATAATATTAAATGTATGCACAGGACACTTACAATGATTCAGGTACTTCATTTATTGTTGCATTAAATTCACAAAGCAATCCCATGAGGGAATGATTATCCTCACTACTGCATGTGAGGAAACTGAGGCACTAAATTAAATAACTACACTGATATGTATGGCTAGGACTGTGAGCAAGTCACCTGGCACAAAGTTTAAGGTGACACTCACTCTTAAGGTCATGTAATTGCAGAGTAAACACTCAAGAGGTTCACCTTTGGAGATATGTGACTCTTAGGTTTTTTTTTTTTTTTCTTTTTTTTAAAGAGAGAGTGAGAGACAGAGACACACACACACACAGAGAGAGAGAGAGAGAGAGAGAGAGAGAGAGAGAGAGGAGAGAATTTTTTTAATATTTATTTTTTAGTTTTCGGCGGGCACAACATCTTTGTTTGTATGTGGTGCTGAGGATCGAACCCGGGTTGCACGCATGCCAGGTGAGCCACATCCCCAGCCCCGACTCTTAGGTTTTTAATTGAACAACTCAACCGGCCTTGGTTTTGCCAAGAAAAAACAAGATCCTATTCTGGAATTGGGAGTTTTGGAATAATGGGTGCTACAACACTTAACAAAATATTTTAAAGAATGCCCATTGTAGGAAGGGTGACCAAGCCTCTTGGTGAGGGAAACAACTGTCATTGGGTCTTTTGTTCTTCTCTGGACTTCAAGCTGTTGATAACATAAACTTGGATTCATTGTCAAGTGTATCCCCTTTTGTTGAAGGAGGCTGGGCTGTGTGCTATGGCTGCGCAAGGTGTTGATATACTGTAAGGTGGGACCCCATGGAAGGGATTGCCCAGTGAGCTTTTAGCCTAGATTTAACTGTGCTTTGGGACACTGAGGGAAGGGCCTATATCATGCTGGGAACAGAGTAGATGGTAAAATGGGAAATGTTTTGGGAAAGCTATTTTCCTGGCACAGAGAAATAGTTTTTCAATTAACAAGGTCTGTAGCCAGACGGCTGGCAGAGCCAAAATCAGGAGGGATTTGTAGACCGAAAAGCATTCTTTGAGGATTTCCAGAACTATTTGGAGAGGGGAGGCTGGTAAAGGAATAGACTTCCTGTGGTCAAGTGAACCCAAGAGATAAGATTATGGCTATTTCAGAATTAAAGCTGTAATGTTCAAGGATGCAAAAGAAAATTACAATTAAATCTGGGAGGTATGTGCTTTAGGGGAATTGGGAGCTTTTTGATTCTGTTGGACTCAAGAAGAGTCTGTTACTTTCAACCTAATCTGAGTAAATCCTTCTCAATAACATTGGAGCCACGGGAAGGGGGGCACCTCAGCCAAATAATTAGAAAGGTTTCCCTGGCCTTTGCTAAGTCAGAACAGAATGTCTCCCCTGGATAAGTGGTCCCTCCTCCAGTGCAAGGCAGAGAGCCAAAGTTATACCCAGACATACATGGGGAGTGGGGAATCACAGTGAGAAGACCTGGTTGAATGATCTGGGAGAAAATGTTGTACAAATATTGGTCACTTTCAGCTGTCCCAGGTATCTAGAGGGAATTGGTGCCAAATCTTAGTGGATACAAAAACTTGCCCATACTTAGCTACCTTATATAAATGATATAGTGTTTGAACTTAACCTATGTATATCTTCCCATAGACTTTAAATCATCTCAAGATTACTTTTAATGCCTAATGCCAGGTAAATGCTGTGTAAATAGTTGTTATACTCCATCATTTAATAAATAATGACAAGAAAGAAAGTCCTTTACATGTTTAATACAGACACAATTTTTTTCCTAATTTTTTTGTATCTGTAGCAGGTTGAATTAACATATGTGGAACCCATAGATTTAAAAGGCCTACTGTATTTTTATTGACTTGAAAGAGAATAAAATGGGTGGTGGTAGCCTTTCTCAAATGACTTCTAATTAATTTATATTGAACATTTAAATGGCCTCTAATGAACCCCATTTACTTTGCCTGTGTTTCCTGCCTCTCCTGATGTCCATAGAGCCCAATGTCCCACTTGTCTAGCTAGTGAACTGAAAGCCCTGTGAACTGACTTAATAATATATTGATGGAGCCAACAGGAAAGGTCAAGATCTCCTTTAGATAGAATAAACTCCAAGGGAAGATCCTAAGCGAACCGTGCTCATTCTTTGGATGTTGGCTTTTATTTAACTCAATGGGGAATATGGCTGTGGCTGTGGGTATATTTATTCTCTGGGCTGGGCTCAGCTTGCACCCCAAATCCTAGCAGCATTCCATGCAGTCAAGGGCCCAAAGGAAACCAGTAAAGAAGTGAACTGGGTACCGAAGTCCATGCCTTGAAAGGCATTTCACACAGTTAAAAAAGAGTTAAGGAGGGGAAGAGACTCAGAAGCAGGACTTGGGAGTTTGGTAGTACTAGCTTTTGGACAGGTAATGAGCCTTGTTTTTAATATTTAAGGTAGAAATAATACTCTCTGGCTTACCTACCTCATAGGACCATGACAGTCACACTGCCCCAAGTTTATGATCTATAGAGACTTCTTAAAAATAAAGCCTTCCTTGATTAGGAGTTTTGTACCTGTATATCAATGGGACGGTTGCAGATTTTTCCAGGGTAAGCAACATGGAGGTCTGAAATTTTCTCTCCACCTTTAGTCTGAGATACTTTATCATGGTCAAACCACTCAGTCCACTCCACATCTAGGCAGAAAGTGAAGACAGGATCAGTCAGAAAGTTGTTCATGAGGCCAGTCACATTCAGTGTGGTCCTAAGCACTCCTGGCACAATAGGAATTGAGGGCCATCTGTCCATAGTTGAGCTAGACTGGGGGAAGGGGGCTCCTAAACTATCTGCCAACTCTCCTGACTCTCTCATCTTTTAATTAAAAACACTGCTTACTGACTTTCTTTTTTATAAAGGTAATACATATTTCTTGTTACTGCAAAAGCAAATAAACATAAAGGGAGAAATAAAATCCATCTGTAAACCCATCATCCAAGCATCCACCAGGATTGCTACTTTCTGTAGCCCCTGTGTATGGGCCACTTAGAGTTTTTTGTTTTTGTTTGGCATAAGGGGTTGAACCCAAGGGTGCTTAACCATATCCCCACCCCTTTTTATTTTTTTATTTTGAAACAGGGTCTAACTAAGCCTCACCAAGTTGCTGAGGCTGGCTTTGAACCTATAATCCTCCTGACAGCCTCTTGAGCCACTGCTGGTATTATAAGCATAAACCACCATACCCAGCTGTATGAACTATTTGAAAGCCAAGTTCATTTTTAGGTTCATAATTCCTAGTCAACACCATCCCCTGACATAAGAAAAATATTCCATGAAACAAACTAAACAAAATGGACCCCTGTTGAGATGGAATACAAATCTTAACCAGTGGGAAAACATTATTTTGGGTGATTGACCGTTAAGTTACAAATTTTTAGTCGACTCTACCATGTGTTCCTATGGACTTCCTAAGAGAAAATACCTTGTTCTACACACAACGACTCCTGGCCATTGATCCAGTGTTAAGCTTTACCAGGCTGTCTCAAACTCCTCACCTTGAACCCACTCACTGGATGAAGAAACATTGAAATATTCCCCATGTTCCGTCTTGAACAGTTTGAAAACCCGGGCAGCAGCAGAGCCACGGTGTCCTGTCAGAGAGATCAGATGCTTTAGCAACCAAACAGATGCCTGGATTCAGAAGGTTGGAGCTCTATGGCACAGAAAACCTCTGTTCCATAAATCTTGAACAATTTAAGAAAAAAAATTTTTTTTCCTTAATCAGGCCATTTCTTTCACTTGGAAAGAAGGTCATTATTCATTCTTTTGTTTCAGTTTTGAAAATTCATTTGTAGCATTTCCACAAATTCAGATTTTGAAGCCCAATTATTTTTCCTGATCTGAGCTCCCTGCACTGCCCCAGGGGTTAGAACCATAGCATCTCCCACAACCTTCACCGGGCAGAGAGACGAGCATTTGTGTTGGAGACGACCCACAGGTCTTTTTAGCTCAAAATATTACCCCTGCTGGTTCCATCCCAGTTCTTTTGTTTTCTACGCCATGTCTATGTTCTATCATAAGCCAATGATGACATCTTAGAAAATAAAAAACATTATGGTTGAACTTCAATCAACACAGGCCTTTGTCACTTCCATGTAACACAGTCAAGTGGCTGGACACTCAACAAGGTGTTGGCAGATAGTCAGCCATGCTCTGAGGGAAGTGAGTCCTTCAGAAAGAACCAAAGCCTCTTGGTCAGAGAGACACAAGAGGGTACTAGTCCTCTCGCCAACCACTTATTACCATGATATTCAATATGGTCTTCAACTGAAGAAGAGGGATTTCCTTTCACAGTGAGAAAACTCCAAGGGTGTCTGAAACAAAAACACACAAAAAATAAACTTCTCCAGAATTGGGAGCAGAACAGAAACAGCCCCAAGTGTCAGAGCCTCCCTCCCTGTTGCTGAGGGGCTTCCCTCTTCCAGGGAAACAGGAGTCTTTCTTTATAAGCAATTGCCTGAACTTCCTCAATGCCTGGCTAGGCCAGTGTCTGCTTGTTGTGAGTCTCTTCAACTCCCTGCTGGCAGTAGATGGGTATGAATCACAAATCAACAAACAGGCCAACAGACCAACCGTCCCACCCGCCAAGCTCAATTACATCCTGAAGCAAGTGCTGTGGTTCGCTTAGGAAGCGTGATCCAAGAGAGGAAGGCTATTTCTCTCATATTCATCTCCCCTAAGAATTGAGCTCGAGGAAAATGCCACAGGCTAATGTGACTGACCACCCTGGCCACACATTTTGGGACTTGGAGAGGGACCAAATGTCTCTTACTCGTAATGGGAAGGGAAAGGAGAAAAAGAAGGTTTATGATTTGGGGAAATTGTACGCTATCTCTCCTCCACAAAAACAAGCACTGTAGAAGCAGGGAGGTTTTCTTACCCATTTTTGTGTTCACCATCATGCCTAATGTAGTGATGGGGTTTGGAAGACTTTTTAGGATAAGTTGCCCCCAAAATATGGCACCTTGGCATGTTCAACATTAAGGTGAAGAAATTGAGAAATGGCAGGAATGACTCCCTGACTTTTCCTGCCCTTCCCCCCTATAGCAGGTGACAAACCTCTGTGTGAGGGGTGCCCTCCATATGCCTGAAGAAAGGAGCATCCTCATCTATAAAGCAGAGGAACGCCAAGAAGAATCCTAATAGAAAGACCTTGCTCAGCTTCCCCTTGGTTCTCTACTCTGAGCTGATAACCTTTGTCTTATCTCAGTTTCCTGGACTCTTCATCAAACCTAGCATAAAAACACTCCAGTTGAACTGTTTCTTCTGGTCTTCATTTCCTTTAGAAGGAAATGTAAAATTTATTATATGAAAGACATTTGTATGCTGTTCTCTTGTTAACCAGTTTTTTTTAAGGGGCTCCACCAAGATTTTAGAAAGGTAAGAGGAAAGAAATTTCTCCTCCTACAGTAGCCTCTCCCTTACTATGACATAGCAATAGATTTAGGTGTTGAATAGCTTTTGTTATTTGTGTTTGGATTGCTTATCTTGGAAAGTAAGTCATTATTCAATGTTGTTTAATTGAGGTTGAGGGTTCAACTACATCCACCCTTTTGCTTCAATCTTTCAATGGCTCCCATTGCATTTGGGACAAAAACCAAGCTCCTTATCACAGAGCCAAAGATCCTTCTGTGCCTTCCCCTACCTTTTTTCCTCAGCCCTCACTAGCTCACATACAGTGCAGCGGCCTGGACTCCTCCACTTCTTTGGAAGAGCCTCTCTAGCTGTTAGTTTGCCTGTGGGGCACCTGCTTGGCCTCCTCTTACCTGTAAATCTGCACTGAACTAACTTCTCTATCCTCTTGTTCTCAAGCCCTATCACCATTTCCCATTCACCTCTGCCTTCTCTTCAGAGCTTAGCACACCTGGTCTAACCTACTGCCTCCCACCAGTTTCTGTTCAATAACCATTTCCTAAATTAGCGAACAAAGGAAGGGTCCAAGTCTCAGTGCTTCTACTGATTTTAAATGCTTTGATCTTATCACTAAAAGTATGTGTTCATACAAATGAGGGGTATATATGTAATTCTTGCTTTCCTGTCTCCTTTGCCCATGTGACTGGACATGATAAAACATGGCAGGACTCATCCTTCCCATGGTTTCTGTTTCTAAGGTCAGAATAGTAGCTTACATTTATCAAGTGCTTATTCTATACCGGGCAAATATTTTGTTAATATTATCACATGTACTTCTCCCAGCAAGTCTTCTAAGAATTCCTGAGATATCCCATTTTACAGAGGAACCATGCAAAGAGAAGATGAATGAGTCACTTTCCTGTAGTCACACCTCATAGGAGGTGCAACCCAGACTTCAATCCAGGCCACCCAATGCCAGACCTTGGGCCCTGAGCCATTAGAATCTTATGCTGAGGCTCTGCTAAGTAACCAGCCATTTTTGGTTCTATTTCCTACTATAAATTAATAAATTGTCCTCTTGGTTTATAAAACAATGGAATGGAAATGCGTGTAGTGTTTGCTAACAAAGGAGTCTCACAGCGCCAAGAATCACTGTCATCTTTGGCTACATGAGTTTCCTGCTTGAGTTTCCCTTCCAGAAGGAGCAGCCCCAGGGCTGTTAGACAATGCACCCTGGAACCTGGAGCACCCCTCCCTTGCCCAGGGAATCTCTGTCCAGCTAGAAAAATTGCTGAGCTCTGAGAAGAAAAGATTCTGGCCCACCCCTGATTTCACCCTAGATCTGAGGAGCTAGAGGGTGGAGCACTGCAGTCTCCAAATAACCCTGGGACAGATAACCCCTTTTCCTTGGGTGTTTGGCTGGGCAGAGATACTTTGCATAATCTCTAAAAACTGTCTGCCAATCCCCAAGGTAAAATATGAATCTTTTGCTAAAGAAAGGGAAAATGAAAGTCAACTGCACCACCAAGGCATGGCTCTTATGCTCAGTAGACATTCTAATATTTTGTAAGTGGCTGACTGAATGAATGAGTTCATGAAAATCAAAGACTTTTGTATTTTTACAGTGGACTATGCTTGTAAGAAAAACCAGGTTCCCCTTAAGAACAATCCCTGAATATGTCCAGTGCAGATGGACAATGTCCCTGAATCCTCCAAGGTGGATTGTGTGGTGTATCCCTGAGAGCACAAGAAAGGAAAGGTTAATTCTTGGTGGGATGGGGGTGCTTCAGTGTTCTGGTGTTTGGAGGAGGTGGAAGTGATGGGAAGTACCTGAATCCCAGGTGTAGGAAATGTTTGCTGCCCAGTTTGGTCATCGCCTTCCGGGCCATGTCATCCAGGTTTCGAGACCCTTCATCATTCACTGCAACAGAAAGGATCCTGCCATCGGGCACTGCATTCAAATACTGGACCAGACGTTCACTCTCTTTCTTGGATCTGTAGGTATCAAATCTATAAAAGGCAGAGAGAAAGAATTTGAATAGTCGTCACAGCAATCAAAAGAAGAGAGACCTATACAGCATTTCATATGCCATCCAAAGATCCCACAGGTTGGGATTTGTAAACAATGAAGCCTTTTCCTTTAAAGAGCAAGTAAAGCTGGGCATGGTGATGCATTCCTGTAACCCCCGTAACTGTGGAGGCTGAGGCAGGAGGATCACAAGTTCAAAGCCAGCCTCAGCAATTTAGTGAGGCCCTAAGCCACTTAGCAAGACCCTGTTCCAGAGCACAAAAAAATTTTAAAAAGGGCTGGGGATGTATATCAGTGGTAGAGCATCCCTGGGTCCAATCTTCAGTACTGCAAAAATAAAGTTCAGGTAAATTTAGTTCTTTTGCATACCATAAGGTGATATCCAAGAATCATATGATTCTAATCATATGATCATTCATTGGATAAAATATCAAAGAAATGTCTATAGTAGTGTGGACCTTGAGCCCTGGGACTTTCAGAAGGTCATACACTTAGGGTCCAGATCTTTAATGTTCCCCTTTCATGACAGAGGTAGCAGTTCATGCCTCTTGCAGAGCCTAGTGTTAGGAGATAGCTCAGACTCCACAAGCATCAGGGATTTCTCTCTCTGATCCAGACTGAAACAACTCCTCCAAAATTCTTGCAAATGACCTGGAGACTACCCCAAATCTTGTACCTACAGAAGCTTAACACATGCTAGAATCATAAAGGGGTCATCTCTGGTTTTGACAATAGAGAGTAACAGTGATATAAACTTTAACTGTTTCAGATATTGTTTCATTCTCCTTTTTCCTGTATCCTTTCTAAAAAAATTATTTTACTTCATTCTGGTAAAACCCTTGCCATGAAATTATCCTTTTAACAAGGTTTTAAGTGTTACAATACAATATCATTGACTATAGGTACAGTATTATACAACTGATCATTACTAACTACATTGTTTTGTTTTGTTGAGATGGTATAATGATCTTGCTATATTGTCCTGGTTGGTCTTGAACTCATGAACTCAAGCAATCCTCACTTCAGCCATCTGAGTATCTGAAACAATAGGCTCATACCACCAACCCCCGCTAAGAGTCAGTCATCTCAAAGTTAATGAAGACAATCTGTTGTCATACACATGAAGTATCCATGAAATACAGATTTTTTTAAAAAATGTACACCACTGGTGAAAAGAATTTACAAAGGAAATACAACTTAGTAACAATCCCAACTCACATAAGTATGAAGATTTTGTGCAATTACAATGGAAGGAATTTGTCTTGGAACTTAAAAACAAAATAGCTCTAAAATGAATCTAGAAAAATAAGCCAGTGTGAATAGCTAAGGAGACTTCGAAAAAGTAAAGCAGTGGTGGTGCAAATGGTAGCAAAAGAGGTGGTCCTGAGTCACCAAACTTACCTTCAGCTATTTTGTATAACCTGGCTCAACTCTGCCTCATCCTCTAGTCCCCACTGCCCTTCCCCCAGGGTCATCTACTGCAGGGAGAGCCCTTTGCAGAGACTAGGACCATACGCCCTTTCTTGTCTTCACTCACTCAGTTCTGTTTGTTTTATACCTAATCAAATTCTTACTACCTTTCAGGAACCAAGGTACCAACATAGGTTCCTGCTCCTTGAAGTAGCCTTTTCAGGTGACTTTGGTCTGCATTTGTGTGTGTGTGTGTGTGTGTACTCATACATTCAGCTATCAGATCCGGGAGGTCTCCAACATACTTCAAGCACAGGAGATTTGGGGCAGGCAGGCATTCTTCTCTTTGTAACCTCCTAGAAGCTCTCCAGATAAGTTCTTATTATATAGTTCAATAATGAATTTAATTGAAAGTTAGATTGCTATCTGTAATGATACTCCACTTAAAGAGATTGTCTTCCCCTGATGAAGGCGGAAGCCCTTAGAAATACTTTGTGTCAATTGTGAGTATCCCAGGTTTACCTGCAGGCTGCTCAGCCAGGGCAAAGGCAGATGACTGTCCCCAGGGAGCCATGGAGATAACTCAGTGAGTGGTTAAGAGTTTGAATCCCAGCTCCAATCTTCGCCAACCTGTGACTCTAAGCAAACTGAGCCTCACCAGAGTCTCATCATCTCATCTGCATAATGTGGGTAATAACAGAACCCATCTCAGAGTTTTTTTGGGGGGGAGGGAGTGGCTTAACCACTATGCCTGGTTAAGCCACATCCCCAGTCTTTTTTATTTTTTATTTTGAGTCACAGCCTTGCTAAGTTGCTGAGGCTGGTTTTGAACTTGCAATCTTCATGCCTCAGCTTCCTGAGTTGCTGGGATTACAGATGTGCACCACTGTGCACAGCTCATCACAGAATTTCTATAAAGATAAATATTAAAGTATATAGAGCAGTGAAGTGCTGAACACAGTATTTTCACAGAGCAAGTCCAATGATTACATGGTCACTAATATTCACCAGGGGATGAGTTCCAGTTATTCCATGTGTACCAGTGAGCACTATGGTTCTTGCCAGACCTGCTGCTGTCCCACAACTGGTCCCTGCTGCCTTCACTGCCACTCACAGTCCTGTTCCTGATGAGCCCTAAGTCTCCCCTAGCAGCACCAAGGATAACTCTGCTTGTCCACCTCAGCTGTGTCCTTCCCTCTGAGTGCCAGGCGAAGCCTCTGCAGGGCCATCATGAGAGTCCCAGGGAGGCTGAGGGCAGGCTAGCTTACCCTAGAGCTGGGAAAGAGAGTGAGGGGAGAGGGCCAGAGACTGCCATTCTGCCTTCCAAATCCCTCTCAAGTTCATCCACCCCATCTCTGTTGCTTCCACCAGAGTCCTTCATGTCTGGCCTAGACCACTATAGAAGCTTCCTAACCACCTCTGTGTTTATTTTTGCCCTCCACCATCAATCCATGTTCTGCATAGTCACCAGAACATTCTTTTAAACATGATCCTTTCCTTCTTAAAGGCTTCAGTGGTTTTGTATCCCACTGAGAATAAAACCCACCCCGTCACTGTGGCCTGCAATGTCCTATACCTGCCCCTTCACATCCAAACCTCTGGTACTGCTTGCAATTCTTCCTTCTCTCACTGCACATCACCCCTCTGGTTGGCTTTTTGGCTTCTGAAGTCATCATGCCTTTTGCACCTCTGGCCCTTTGTACTTGGTGCTCTCTGTCTTCACCACTTTCCCCATGCATCCTCCCCCTACAGCTCCCAACTCAACTGCTGTTTCCTTACACTGGCTCTCTCTGACCACCCTACCCAAGTATCCTTCCCCAGTAACTCTTTACTATTTCCCTATGACTTTTTTCTCCCATTGTCAATTAACACAATCTGAAATTAGAGTTTCAGGCACGTGTGTGTGTGTGTGTGTGTGTTCCTATTAAACTTGTTCCTATTAAACTCAGCTACATTAAGCAAATGCCTGGGAAGGACATACTTTTTTTTTTTTTTTTTTTTTTTTTTGTACCAGGAATTGAACCCAGGGGCACTTAACCTCTGAGCCACATCCCCAGTCCTTTTATTTTTTATTTAGAGACAGGGTCTCAATAAGTTGCTAAGGCTGGCTTTGAACTTGTGGTTCTCCTACCTCAGCCTCCCGAGCCACTGGGATTATAGGTGTGTGCCACCGTGCCTGGCTGACATAACTCTTGAGAGCAGAGTTCTTTGACTCTGTTCTTTGACTGCTATACATCCACTTCCAGAGCAGCAAATGGCCAGGGCACATGCTCAACACACGTGTGCTGAATACATGTGTTAAGTGTTTAGTGTTAAGTGTTAAGTGAAGGCCAATCTTACCTGTCAGAATGGACAACCGTGCCTGATTTGGAGTCGATGACATGAACAATAACTCCACGGTGGCCCCAGCTCCTTTCAAAAAAATAGCCTCCCTCTTCCATGCCACCCGGGTGAAGCGTCTTGTTCAGAAATGTCCAGGAGAGTTTTTTCTGTCCATGCAATTCAAGGGTGCCTCCTTTACCGACTCCAAGGTACTTCAGGCCATAGTAAGGGTCTGGCTGAACACCTTCATCAGCCCTACAGGAGAAAAGCTTTCCAGAGTTGCAGACTCATATCTTTACTAGATGCTGAACCCACAGAGGACCACCACTGCTTCCAGGATCACAACATGGCACCATAGAGCAAGCCATGCTTTTAATGATCTCATGGGGTTAGTAATACAGCTGTAGCAACCTGACCTTCTTCTCCTTTTATTTCTTTTGAACAGGGGAATGAACCCGGGGGTGCTCTACCACTGAGCTACATCCCCAGCTCTATTTATTTATTTAATTTGAGGCAGGATCTCACTAAGTTGCCCAGGCTGGCCTTGAACTTTCAATTCTTCTTCTTCAGCCTCCCTGGTCACTGGGATTACAGGAGTGTACCACCATGCCTGGATGCAACCTGATTTTCAAAGCCAGACAAATAGGAAACCCAAAAGGCCAACAGAAATGCTTATAAGTTTACATTTTGCCACTTCTTTTTAGTTCTAAGTGTTTCATATTTTAATCTATATAGACCACCTGGGCCTGGACTGCATACCCTGGCATATTCCCAGTTATCACTAAGAACTCTCAATTGCTTAAAGAGGGGGCATAATCAGGGGCAAACATCACATGATATTTCCCTCTATCTTGTCCATCATAACTTATTAAATAAGTTGTAAGAGCTTCCCTAAACCGTGACAAGGTTAGAAGGCAGTTGAAAGGCTGGTGGGACTTCTGTGACACATGGACAGCCTTCAGGCCATGATAAGTAAAATGCCACATGGGCTTTTCCAGTTCACACACTTTGCCATGTCTATCTTGCTCACAGTTAGGATCTGGCAAGACAGAACATTTCTTGTCTCATTCTCTTGCCTACCTCTCTCCTTTAGAAAGTCTCCCTCCCATCAGATACAAGAATAACATTTGACCCCTAAGATGGATCTTCCCACCTTCCATATAACACGATGCTGAAATTGCCCTGAAAAGGGCAGAGGGCACTCCCAACATGCAGTTCTCCTCCATTGTCAATCAGGATGTGTCGGGTGCGCAAAACAATGGGTTCATCATGGTCTTTAATGACTAGCTTGCCTAAAGAGGTAGGAACAGGGTAAGGACACCAGTGTTAAAGAGTAAGGTCACAGTAGAGCCAAGGGCAAAATCCCTAAGTCCCCCATCTAATTTAGGCAGTCAAAAGGTAAATTTTCCAAACACTCCTGTGTTAGCTGCCTTGCAAGTAATTTTACACTGCTTTGCAGTATGTAAATAATGCCTTCCCATTATTTACTGCATCACTGCATGCCCTACATTCAATGACAGTTAAAATAAGTATTATTCAGAGCACCAATAAGGAAGTCCTTCCTCATATACCCCTTATTACTAAGATTGGTCTTTTAACAAGCCCTTCTTAAGTGTTCAGAGTTAATGGTGATCGGAAAAAACAAACAACAAAATAAACCCAGATGCTCCAACATAAACCCAAGGCATGTAGCACTGTTCTGTCCATCTACAGTCTTCACAACCTGCAAAGGCTCAGGGGTTGTGGAGGGGAGAGACTGACTTACCTCCCTCTGAAATGTCAATGGAATGGAATGTGGCAGAAGAAGTGAGCAGCAGCATCCTGCCCTGGCCAATGTGTACATGGTGGTCCTGGTCATGGCCAGGGTTCCAGGGCTGCAGCTCAGGGTTCTTGTCAGGGCACTCTGCTGGCACTGCTAAAGAGAAAAAGATGTCACTGCTCCCATGCACCAGCATCATCAAGCAAGGATTAACACAGGCCATAAGTGGCTTGTGCATCTTCATGGTCTTGTCTCCTCTTCATTAGAGCTAAAAGCAAGATCCCAGAGATCAGAGAGATGCCCTGATCTAGGAGAAAGAAACCCTGAAGTCTGGTCCCATGTCTTTCATTAGTTCATCATGTGTGTGTAATCAAGTCACTTAGTTTTTCTGGGTTTAGATTACCCCTTCACGATGAAGGGTAGACCAGATGGCTACCCAGGACATTCCAAAATCTAAAGTTGCGCAATAATTTATCCAGATTTCTTAAATTCCAAACATTCTGTCCTCTGGAAAGCAGTGTTTAAAGAGTTAACAAAACTCTTCCCCTCCCCACCCCCACTATTTATTTATTTATTTATTGCATGAAAATTTGACCTTTTGTTAATTTTCTAGCTCTGTTCCCCTGGAAACATGAGAAAGATGGTACTCCATAAACCATGTTACCAAGCAACACTTCTTCAACAAAATTGTCCCCTGTTTGGTAAATGACCTTTAAACTAGAAGGAACTGTAAATATTTTATTTTGATGCCTGGTGGAGATGTTGGGCTTTAGGTTTCCCTGTCATGTCTTGTAATTGAAACATGCCTTACAGGACCTCTGAGATTGATGTCTATGAAATTTTCTATAAAAGAAACCTGATGTTACAAAATCAGGATGTCTCACACTGTCCAGTGACAGTCTTATTTCTTCCCATCAGAGCTATCACTTTAGGAACCAAAGAAGACAGTTTATGGAAGGCCAGGTGGTCTATTGACAAGACTACCATGGAAGAGAAACACCTGTTTATTTGTGTGCATGCAGTGCAGTCCACATATTCCACAATCCTGCTTCTTCTTTTACTGTCCAAATGTATTTTTTTTGGTAGCAGTGCATATTAAACTCAGGATGCTGTAACACTAAACTACATCCCCAGTCCTTTTTTAAATTTTGAGACAGGGTTTTACTAAGTTGCCCAGGCTATCCTGGAACTTGAGATCCTCCTGCCTCAGCCTCCTGAGATGCTGGGATTACAGGTATGCACCACCTGTGCTCTAAACTCCTATTTGAAATTTTGAAATTGTCCTCTATCTCTCATATCTTCAGCCTTACATTTGCTTTATTCAATTTCTATTTCTACAGCCCAAGTGAACTTAACCTACATTTCTGGATTTTAACTCAAAACCACTTAGAGGAAAAAGTTGAAGATATTGAGCTAGAAAAATAAATGTGGTCCTTGCTCAGAGCATCAGAGCTGAAAAGCACTTTAATATACCACATCCTATGACACAAACAGGAAGGGGACACTGAGTTCAGGTGGTCCAGACAGAGGTGGAAAACTGCATCTCAGATGTGTGATTTTTTTTTCTTGGCCCCTACAGTGATTTTTAAAATTTGAATTAATGATTCTGATTTCTCATGGAATTCAGAATATCTTGCAACAATTAATCCACCTTCCTATGTGGTAGCAATTGGCAGAACTGAAGAGAGGGTGTCTTAGAGGAGTCTCCACCCACTCAGGTGACCACAGTCCCCACCCAGCCAGCTTCATTCCTTTATGTCAGATGTCTGGCTCCTGCAGACACTGAGTTTGCAACCCCTGATTCTTGACCAACCCCATCATTTTGTGGATGATGAAAGCCCAAGATGAGACTTGCCTGGGATCAAGGAGTTTAATAAGGATGGGCCAGAGCCCAGCCACCCTGACCCCACCCCTACAATCCCTTCTCCCATTCCTCCCCTAAAGAGAAGAACTGACTTCCATGTCCATGCTAAAATGTGAAGGCCCAGGTGCTTCAGTGGCTTACCTGTGGATGTGACCCCAGGGAAGTGAACCAGGATGAGCCAGCTGACGGTCAGCACAGCCCTGAAGTTCAAGGCCTTGAAGGAATCCAGTCTTCTGGCAGCTCCCATCCCAGCAGGGTGTTCCCTGAAATGGAAACACACAGAAGTCTGTTGTGTGACTTAGGCAATTTGGAAACAATAGGCAGAGCAGACACAGAGACAGATAAAGCCACATGCACACATAAAGACTGGGACAGGGTAGTGCTAGGATGGGCACACTCTGGCAGTCCCAGAGTCCTCACCAGCAGCTTTTTCGGATGCCAGGACTCAGGGCTGAGCAGATTGGGGCATGCAAACCCTTCCATGGTCCTACCTGTGTCCTGTAGCTCAGGGGCTGAGTGATGGATGAAATTTTATCCTTGGCACTCAAGCTCCCTCCCTTGTAAAATGAAGCTTTTTTTCTTAAGAAATAGAGAACAAAAACACTCCCAGTGAACATGAGCTGAAAATTTCATGCCACCAACTTTTTGTGTGATCTTGGTGATTTATTTAACTTCTCTGGGTCTTGGATTTCTCATCTGCAAAAATGAGGATGTAGACTAGCTGATTTCTAACCTTTCCATTATCAGTCTATGCTTCTAAAGCTAGTCTTACAAGATAATATTGGAAATCTAGGTACAGATACCTACAGGTTACCTTCCTCAGTAACAAAACCCCTGATTTTTGTCTAGGTACATGTCCACCTAGAATAAAGATTGCATTCCTTAGTCTCTCCTGCATTAGTTGTGGTCTTGGAATTAAGTTCTGCCAATACAGCAGAAGTACTGTAGATTTTAGCAAATGTGCTTAACAGAAGATCAAGAAGACTGTTTTGCTTCCTTCCTCTTTCTTGTTAGCTAGAATATAGATATGATGGCTGTATCTTTTGCAGCTCTACTGGGCCACATAATAGAAGTCATATATGAGAACACCAAGTAAATAGAAAAAAACCTAGGCCCTGTCCCTGTGTCAAACAAAAATAGCCCTCAGTGATGGATTTACTTTTATGCTGAGAGAGAATTAAACTTCTATTTGATTAAGATTTCATTGTATAAAAGACATTGTTATTTTTTCCTTCTACTCACATACACTAAGTGAACCTAGGTAAATCTCAAAACAGGAGTTAAAAAAATAAAAAGATACACAACTTCCCTTTCAGAGTGTGATGTCCCTCAGAAAAAATTACATATTTTTTGCTTTGGGAATGGCCAGCTCTGGCTTCTATTCCACCTCCTCAATTCCTTTACTGAGTATAACTACAGTTGGGCCCAGAAACAGATATTCATTCTCCCACACTGAGAAATCTATCTCACTCAACACAGTCTCCTCCCTTCAAACCCATTGAGCCACAAATCTGATTGCCCCTGACCTTCCAGTTCAGAGTGAAGGCCTTTGTGTGAGCTCAGTGAGTTGGGACAGGCAAGACTCTGAAATGAGCACACTGGGCCCTCTGCCTGGTCCCTCCCACACAGGTGTGCCTGGGGAGGTCAGGAGAGGGAGAAGCAATACTCTCAGAATCAATGCCGCCGTATCCCCTTAATGGGCACTCTGCCTGACTCAGGCCCCATCTATAGAGAACAACAGGGCCCATTCTGCGTTTCAGCCAGATCACAGAGGTCTCGCATCACAGCCTCTGGGAATGGCGCTTTTCCCATGGCCCCCAAAGGAGAGTGCTTGCTTTTATGCTGTTAGCAATAGAAAGGAGAGGACACCAAGGACAGGAGTGTTTCATGGTCCTCAGCCAGAGCTCTACTGTCAGATCTCAGTCTAGAAAAACCAAGGGTAGTTTGTGGTTGGCTGTCAAAGAGCTTCACACCACACAGTCCTCCCCCAAGGGAGCCCAGACTTCTAGGCCACAGGCCCACATCTTCACTTGGTGGAGGAATCTGGGTGGGGGCAGCTTGAATGGGGGCATGCCTCCAGCCTGGACTTGCCAGCAACCCTCATCAACACACTTTCTTGGGGCCGCAGACTCCCATGCACAGACTGGGAAATCTGATGACGTTAAAGGTCTAACATCTTCTGATTGTGTCACAGGTCATTTCAAAGATGAAATCAAACTCACTTTCTGGATGAATAATTCTACTTGGAGGAAAAAAGGGGCTCAAAGCCCCTTTTTCTAACACTAGTAAGAGAGCCCTTCTGCCCCATCTCTGGGCCAGCTTCTGAGCCACAGGAGGCAGAGGAACCCTCTTGTCCAAAGAGCCACCCAGATATTGTTGAGTGAGTGGTCATCTGCACTTTTCTGCCATGGGTGGCTTCTGGCACCTAGCACATACAATTTGAGAAATGCTCTGTGAATCCTCAAAGGCTCCCAGATTTCTCTTGGGAATTGTTCTCCAAGGGAGGGCAGCTTTCTCAAATGGCTTCTACAAGCTTTCTGGCAGCAAGAGTTAGGATTCGTCTTCTCACTGGTAAGATGGCCTTGAAACAGGTCCCAGTTGTTGAAGGCCTTGGAAAAGCACACAGTGTAATAACACTAGAAGTCTCTCCAGGAAGCCGTGGGCTGCAGACTGGCTGGTCACTGCCCTGGCAAGGTTGGACAGCTGCTCAGAGATCAGGTCACACTGGCCTGAGCTGGCCTGTCCCTTGAAGACTCTAGTGAACTCCTTTAGCAAAGCTGGTGTGAAAGAAAATAGACACCACTTTCTGAAAGCCAACTGTAGGCCAACCCCACAAATCTTCACTATTATAAGCCCAAATTTTTCAAAAGCTCAATATCCCCAAGTCTTGTGCTTGACAGGCCTTCCAGGGCTGCGGAGCCGTGGGAGCATAAAACGCTTGGTGCATGTCCCTCCTCTTCCTGCTGCCAGGAGTCCCAGGTGCCTGAGTCTCTGCACTTTCTTCCAGTAGCCTCAGCCACAGCTGCCTTGCAGTTTAGGGTTTGTGACCTGCAGAGCCAGAGGAGATGGGGAAGAGAAGCAGAGATTTAGAAGAACCTCCAGAAAAACTTGTGCAACAGCATTCATATCAGCACATCCCAGTCCTGCTTATACATATAATTATAATGCAATAATTAATAATAATAGTAGTAGTAGTAGTAGTAGAAAGGAGACCAGTAGAGTAGAGCAAAGGTATCAGGAAAGGGAGAGGGGGAGGAAAGAAAAGGTGCTGGGGAATGAGAATGATCAAATTATGTTACATGCTTGTGTGAATATAGCATAATGAATCCCAGTATTACATATAATTATAATGCACCAATAAAAAAATAAAAAGCACACCCTGGGGCACTGAGTCTTGAGGGATGAGAATGTCTGTCGTGAAGGGGGCTGCAGCAGCCAGTGCTTTCTGCAGGATTTGCATGAAAGAAAGGGAGGAGGGGCAGGGGAAAGGGTCAGATGAAACTGTGAGGCAAGAGGTGAGCAGAGGCCTGCAGAGTCATCTGGAGGCTCAGGTTTGTTTCCTGGGATGAGAGAGCACAGTAACAGCCATGCTTCTCCCTGAAAAACATGCATGAAGGTGATTCTCACTTTAGGCAAACGTAGGCACAGCTCAGCTTAGAGACTGGCGTGGGGGGCCAGAGTCTTAAATCCCAACCATGAGGCTTTCCTTGGGAAATCCACATGACCACTTGGGCTTCACTTTCTTACATATGTAAAACTGGAATTAAATTCTATAATTATCGGGAGAATGTTTTTTAAATGCTCCATATGAAGATCATGTAGCACTGGGTCCAAGCTATGGTCAGTGCTCAAGCAGTACAAGCTCCTGGTATCCAGGACACTCAGGGGCATAGGAGAAGAGTCTGAGAGATTTGTATCTGAAAACCCAAGATTGATTTCAAACTCATCTGCTATGTGACTTTATGCAGTTCCCTCAAATTCTCTGTGTCTCATCTTCTCATTGCTAAAATGAAGACAATTATGCTCATAATAAAGAGTTTTTGTTGTGAGTGTCAACTGAAATGTGCTAGCTCAAAAAAAAAATATCATTCATATATGCCTGGCCTCTGGATTACATGCAGTGGGAAGTATCAGGGGGATACTAACACACCTCACAAACAAAGATAGCATCCTTGAGTAAATTAGTTGATCTTTCTGAAGCTCACATGTTTGTCACCTGCAATGATGATGATAAGAACTGAAACAAAATAATCTAAGCAGTGTCAGCACTGCTGTACTCACTTTGGGAAGCGAGGGGAGTGGTACCAGGAATTGAACACAAGAGCACTTTATCACTGAGCTACATTCCCAGTCTTTCTTATTTTTTATTTTGAGACAGGGTCTTGCCAAGTTTCTGAAGCTGGCCTCAAACTTGCAATCCCCCTGCCTTGTCTTCCCAAGTAGCTGGGATTGTAGGCATGCATCACCACCCTTCCTGTCTACTCAGTCTTTTTTTTTTTTTTTTTTTTTTTTGTACCAGGGATTTAATTCAGGGGCACTCTACCGCAGAGCCACATCCCCAGCCCTATTTTGTATTTTATTTAGAGACAGGTTCTCAATGAGTTGCTTAGCCCCTTAATTTTGCTGAGGCTGGCTTTGAACTCACAATCATCCTAACTCAGCCTCCCAAGCTGCTGGGATTACAGGCGTGCACCACCAGGCCCAGCCTGTCAACTCACAGCAATCTTCTGGGCTGACTGTTATTATCATCACTAGTTTTGGATAGGGAAACTGAGGCACAAAGTATATGACTTGGTCAAGGTCATGCAGTTAATAAATGGCAAAGTCCAAATCTTGCTCTTCAGAAATTGAGTTCCTCCTCTTCTCCTCCTTCCTTCTCCTCCTCCTCCTCCTCCTCTTCTTCCTTCCTCCTTCTCCTCCTCCTGCTCCTCTTCCTCCTCTTCTTTGTCTTCTTCATACTGGGGATTTAACCCAGGAGCACTCTACCACTGTGCTACACACCAGCCTTTTTTATTTTTATTTTGAGACAGAGGCTTTGCCAAGTTGTCCATGCTAGTCTCAAACTTGTTTCCCCCTGCCTCAGCCTCCTGATGGGATTATAGCAACACACCTCTGAGTTAGGCCAGAAATTGAGCTTCTAATTCCTAAGGATTACATTATTTGCAATATAAACTTGGGCTGCCTGAATACAGGAGTTGGTTGGAATACCTATGAGAGGCCATCCAACCACGTGCTTACTCTAGTGTGCACACACATCTTCTGGAGAGCTGGCTAAGTGCAGATTCTGATTCTGTAGGTCTGGGCTGGGCCTTAGGCTCTGCTGAGGGTCACAGAGCTAGTACATGGCTCCATCAAGATTTGGCCCACCCAGGTGGTCTGGCCTCTGTAAATGGGCACAATAACCCCACACTCACCTGCCTCTTATCCTCACATACTAAGAACAGCAAATGTGGGATACAAGTCATTTTTCTTCCCCTTGAAGACAAGATAGTGATCCTGAAATCAGCTGGGGTTGTGCTGGGGGAAAGGTGAGAAGAAATCTCCCTCCAGTTCTCTTGTGGTCAGGGAGTCCTTGGTGACCTCCAGTTTTCATTAGATAAAGATTTCTCTGTCCCTTTAAATCTATGCCATATTTCCTGATAGGCCCAGTGGGGCTGATGTGGGCCAGGTCACCTGCACAGGACAACTATGGTCCCATTCTGGGTATCCAATAAGTCTATCCCAGTGGCCACTGGAAAAACTGGAAGGCAGAGTCCAGAGATCTCATTCCTCCAGTACAAAAAGCTCCTCTGACAGATGGCGAAGCAAAAATCCTTCTCTAACATGCACTAGAGGACCACCAAGCTCCTCTCCTAAATCAGGTAATGAATAGCCATCTCCTTAGCCTGTCATTTGCTCCTTCTAAGGCCCAGCTTTTCTCTAGCAGAGAAATATATATCTCTGGTCAGCTGGGCTTAAAGTAGCACCCCCAGGAAGAAGTAGGTGCCAGGGAAAGACAACCTGAGCACCCTTCTGGACCATAGGCAGACAGTTCTTTGGGGAAGCTCTTATAGCCTTGAGATCCTTCCCATCTGCCCTTTCTGAAAGGAGTCACCATTGATAGGACATGTGAAGCTTCTGTACCAAGGACCCAAGGAAACGGACCCCACCCTGCTCCTCAGAAGATGTAAGTGGAAGACCCTCTGCCTCTGCAAACTGGAGTATATCTTCCAGACTGCTTCCTGGAGCTCACTTTCTTCTGAAAGCACACCTACACTTCTTTCTCCGTGGCAAAGAACAAAACCCCCAGAGATGTTCTAAAGCCTTATCTCTTCCCCAGAAATCATGCTTTTAATTCCTAAAGATAAAATAATTTGCAATTTAGACTCAAGATTCACAGAATGTAAAAGCTGATAGGGATACGACACTTATTACAGCCAGCACAACAATCACTTGGGGAAGTTGGAAAATGCAGTTTTTCATGAAGCAGGTCTGAGGTGGGACATGATCTGCCTCACCTTTTTCTGCACCTCTAAGACACTCCCACATTTCAATTGGCAGAGAACTAATCCAGTCCTGTTTTTCCTTATTTTACCTTATAGGCAAACCAAGGCCCATAGGGTGATCAGAAGCAAGTTAATGGAATCTGAACCCATATCTGGTAGTGGTTCACTTTCTGACCCCAAATTATGGGCATATGTGTTGTCTTCTCAGTTACCCTTCTTGCATGGGAAGAAGGAAGCGAGAGGAGAAACTCGGTCCATGCATTCCTGCCTCTGTTTCAATTGAGGTACCACCTAAGTCAGAGTTTGAATAGTAAACTCATATCTCAGGTACCCTCATTTATCTTCCCCTCAAAATACACCTCTTTTAATATGGGAAATTCCCACTGGGGGGCCACCTGCAGAGCCAAGAAGAGCAATACAGCTGTTCCATGTGATAACAGCAGTTCCCCACGGGTACTTGCCCCATGCCCACGCATATGAGAAGGAATCCTGTCTGATCCTGCTGTGCCATCAACTTCAAATTCCTTATCACACCACCCAATCAGCCACAGCTTCAAAGCTTTTGCCAACTGCAGCTGTGAAAAATACCCCTCTGAAGCTGTTCTTCTCTCCCATTCACTTAACACCCTGATCTTGGCACTCCCATGAGCAGGCATTGTGCTGGTTCTGGAGGAAAACGGAGGTAAGACCCCAGTTGTCAAAGATCCCCAGTCCCATCACCCTAGGTAGGCAACAGGCCCTGAAATTTAAATGATGAGCATAACTCATCCAGCAAACCAGATGCTGCCTAGGAAGAGCCGACTCTTAAATACTCACTTAAGGTTAAGCCCAGGAATAAATAACTTAGCCACCTGACATCCCTAACTTTCTTTTTGTTTATAGATGTGTGGCCAATACAGTAGCCACTAGTCACACGCTATGCAAACTTATTTAAAATGAAATAAAATTTAAAATCCAATTCTGCGTAGCACTAGGTACATTTTAAGTGCTCCACAGCCATGGGTGGCTAGTGGCTGCCATATTGGGTAGCAGATCTAGAACATTTCCTTCATTGTGGAAACTGCTATTGATCAACTCTGGTGTAGAGCCTCAGTGCTTGGTGGTTTTGAAGATGCAAACTAGAGTTACAAAACATTTCAGAGCAATGGTCCTCGTGGAAGTATCCTGGACCAGCAGTGTCGGCACCAGATTACAGACTTTCAGCCCTATTCCTGACCTACCAAACTGCTAAATCAGAGATCTTAGTGATGGGACCCAGCAGTCTGCTTTAACAAATCCTCCAAATGAGTCCTATGTGGGCTTAAGTTTGAAAACCACTAGTTCAGAGTGTTAATTCAGCTCAAAAGAGATACTTGTTAACCACCAACCTCATGAATATTTAATAGTGTGTTAACTAAGCACCAAGAATCACAAAATAGATTCCAATTTAAATCTCAGATCTGCCACTTCAGAGCTGTGTGCAAACTTGGCCAATCGTGTAATAACTTAAGCCTCAGTTTTCTCACCTTTAAGATGGAGGCTGATACAAGGTGCCTAGAAAGCTGTTGGATGGACACAAAGTGA